AGAAAGTGCTGATGCAAACCCAGCTGATGCTCTGCCGGGCTTCTGTGGGTCAGGAGGGCTTACAGGTCAAATCCACTCTTCATGCAGGAGCTGTAAGCAAAGATGCCTCATGGTGAGCTTTGCTGGTGTTTACTCTGGAGCTCCCTTTTTAGCTGAAGCCCTTGAGCCAGCTGGTGCTATTCCCGCTCTGCCCAGCAGACATTGCTGCTCAGCTGTTTGGTTTTATCCCTTCCTAATTTTACAAGAAGTGACAGTAAATCTATCCCGCATGCACAGGACTGTGTGGGGTGTTTAAACAATCATTCGCATCCAGATGTGGTGATAGCTTTGGGGTGTGTCTTGGCCATGTGGGTTGGTGCTGGATATATTACGTCGTAAAAGTTAATGTTCAGAGTCTGACATTCAATCCACGAGAGCAGGAGAGCGTTTGGCAGTGAGCTGTGCTGTGTGGGGCAGTCCCATCGCCCATGGGTGCCAGGAGGGTGCCCAAGGGGTGCCAGGGATGTCTTCTGTCAGACCTTCCCAAAGGCACCGCCATAGAAGGGCTCCTAAGCACAGCCAAGGGTACCTACACAGTTTGTCTTCACATCCAAAAAGACCATTAGCCTGGGAGGAGGAGGAGGAGGAGGAGCAAGGGGACGCAGCAGAGGAAGATAGGCTGTGGAGCAGAGGGTTTGTGGGAAGTTAATGGGCGGTGAATTGGCATTATGCCCCGACAGGTTCTCATTTCCGTGTCTCTGTGCTGGCTCATCCCCACCCCAGCGCAGGGAGGGAGCATCCTCCCTGCCACGGCTGCACTGAGCTGTGCAGGGCAGGGCAGGCAGGCACTGCCAGCCTCAGGGGTGCACCCACAGCTGGGGGCTGCCCCAGCACATCATGACCAGGGAGTGCAGGGAGCTGGGGTTTGTGGTTCTGAGGCCTCAGGCACACAGTGGGTGGCAAAAGGGATAAAGCAGAGAAAAATGAGGTTGCTTCGCTGCTGCCCTGCGGGTGATGCTGAGGGAGATGCTCCATTTTGATTCAAACCTGGATCGAAGTCGAGGTAGCTCCTCTGCTACTTGGGGATGTATAAGGCTGTGTCTGAGCTCATAATGTAAGGGTTAAAGCCATGTCCTTGCTCTGCTTCACTCCTCAATGGTCTCAGAACAACTCAGTATTTGCTCTGCTTCATATTACATTGTCTTGGAGGAGCTGGTGAGGGATCAGCCCTGGGGATGTGGCTGCAGGGCCTTTGGCCCTGACATCTGCATTCTCCCTCCTCCATGTCACTGCTGCACAAAGCTGAGACCTGCCTGAGGGAGGTTCCCAGCAGGCAGGGGACACGGTGGGATGGTCACCTGCAGGCCAGACCCTGCTTCGTCCAGCGGCTTCTGCAAGACCTTTTCCCTGCTCACATTCCCTTTCTCAGGCCTGGATGGATGAAATAGACTTTACAGCCCCAAATCCCTTAATCTCCAGTATCCATAGCAGTATTAGCCAGACTACAGGAGTCATATACACGGGAATTGCGCCCAGTGGAGGACACGCTCACAATTTCATGCTGGAAGGAAACGTGTTATTCGTTTTCTCCTGTCTCCCACCCATCTCTGCAGAAGTACACGGAAGCCATGATAGGGATATGTCAAACATGCAGAGAAATGTCATAGCTGAAATACAACATGCTCTCCAGGCAGCCTTGCAGGAGCTGAGCGGGGTGACATCTGAATGGAAATGGGGCCCAAAGCTGCAGCACATCTAGCTACTAACACTAAGTAAGTTATGCTAAGCAATTAGTTCCTTTATTTCTTTACAGTCCTCCCCTTGTTTTTATTAAGCATTCCTGCTAATACATTTAGCAAGGCTTGCAAAGCCTTTCAAAAAGCATGATCTGTTTGCATAATTATATCTACAAAATGATTACAAGCACCAAACCTAATAGTCTTAAAGCTAGTACGGTTACCACTGGGTGGAGCAGGAGGTTATAAATTCCTGTGGCTGTAGATGACCACCCTAGGAGAGTTTCCCACCAGTGTTCTCCATCTCTTTTTCCTCTTTCAAACACGCACCACATTTTGTCCACATTATGGTTTGCAGTGATTAGAATTTTTTTTTCCATCAATTCATACATGTTTTAATAGTTTATATAAGTCACCACATTGTGATAATTTCCTTACCAGCATTAAGATTAATTCCAGTCAAAATAGGTAACGAGTCTTTAACTAGTGTATAATTAGCCTGTAACAACTGGTGGGATGTAACAGGAGCTGTATAATTAAAATCATACCCTATAATTCTAGTAAAGTTACGAATGCAAATATTTGAATGATTACTTGTATCGACAATAATATCACCTACAAAAATAAAACCACAAAGAGCTCTTAAGAAAACACATCCTTTTCCAATATATATAAGTGTAGTTTTAGGGGTTTCATTGGCACGAGTTTCAAAAGTGACAAGCATTTTTCTCAGTGCCAAGACATGTCTTGGGCTTTAATGGTGTTACTTTTACAAATGACTCCTTGTTGTTCCCAGCAACATCAACTATTAGCCATATGTGTTCGCTTTGTGTTATCCATAGTTTATGTTCTATGGGAAAGGGAATGATCCCATTGTGATTTGAAACAGCAATTGCGTATACGGCGTATACTGAAGCATTATATTACTGAGACAGAAACTGTGACCTTATTGTTATGGGGTCAGAACTAGCCAAATACCACAAGGGTTGAAATCCTCTTTCAAACTGAGTTGTGTTGTCCCAAACTGCTTTTCAGATCTCTGTGGGTAAGGCGCCTCCTTCACCTACCCTCCTGTAGGCACCCTCATGTGCCCCTGTAGAGTGCATCCACAGGTGAGTGTGGATACAGCTAAGAGTGGGTGAAAGATTGCCCTGGACCATTCCGAGTGTCTCTACAATCAGCTGGTGGTCTCTCTTATTAATTTTCTCCCACTGAGGCAATGTATTAGCTAAGAGCCATTGATTACTCCCCTGTACTAATAGAGAGGATCACAATGGGTGTTCTAATTTCCTTAAATCACTTGTTGTTGCACTTAGTTTATTTAGGAGTACTTCAACATCTATACCATTTAGGACTCCCAATCCTGTCCCTGTAATACCAGTTGCATCCCTTTTTGTTTGCTTTGAAGGGGGCTCAGCAGAGAAAGGTTATGAGTCCTGGGTTAACACGTCCACAGGTGACATTAACTTCTTTACTATTACTTCTTAAAACTATTATCTGTCATCTTGCAACAACTGGTATTAAGTGTTGAGCAGCAAGTGATATTACTGAGGCAACGAGACCTGTCCCTACTGCTTCCCTCTGTCAAGGCTAAATTATAAACCTTATCTGATTGACAGCAGGAAGTGAGAGCCTTCCTATTGGATGTTTCAGGAATTGGGAACCTTGTTCCTATGTAATCTAGGAAAACTATCTTCCTTTTGGATTTTTATAACTTTCCACTAATCCGGATCATCCATCATTTTTATCCTTAGCCATGCTGTAGCAGTAACAGAGTCAATAATACCAAGAGTAGTGAGATGTCCCACTTCATTCTTGGTTGATGTGAGAGTTTTTCCAGGAGTCAGTCATTTGTCAGCTAGCTGGCCAATTTCCACCTGCTTGATGTGAGAATGGTGTATCCAACTTTCTTTTCCTAAAATTTTAACAGCAAAATAGAGACGCAGTAAGATGATATTTGGCCCTTCCCACTTGGGTTCCAATTTGAATTTCCATGAGAACATGTTAATTAAAATTACATCTCCAGGTTGTATGTCAGGTACCTGTATTTCCAGAGGCGTGGGCTGATACCATTGAGCATATTTCTCTTTATTTTCAAACCCTTCTGCATATATATGATGTATTGGGTCAGCCATTCATCAGATCAGACCAGCAGGTATCTGAACTGGGTATTACCTCCTTTAACAAGGCTCTGGGTCAGCATTTCTTGTTGGGGAGGCCTGATAACTGATGTATTATCACTAGGAAGTGGACTCGTTGCTGCTATGTCAGCCAAAGTATTTCCTTCTCTAATTTCTGTAGTGGCCTTGGTATGGGCTGGACAATGTATTACAGCAATTTCTTTGGGTAGCTGGGCTGATTCCAGCATTTGTGCACTTCTTCTCCTTTGGATACTTTTTTCCCCAATGATGTGAAAAGTCCTTGTTCCTGCCATAGCATTGCCATTGTGTGGCACACCCTGAGAGCATAACCAAGAGTTTTTTGGCTTGTTTCCCTTTTCCCAGATGTTCTGTACACATATCAGGGCTACCAGTTCACCCTGTCTTTGCTGAGAGTGTGCTGTGGTTACACTAAGCAATTAATATCCTCTATTTCTTTTCAAGGTGAGGAGCCAGTCCCTCATCTTTACAGCTGGGTGTTTGTACGTCCCATGCCTGGTGGTGCTCCTGTTTGCAGAGCTGATAACTGATGGCAGGGAAGACTTTACTGTCTGAGGAATACTTATGCAAACAAGCACAGTGGTTTAATAGGGAACACCCGGAGAAATCTCTGAAGAAAGCGCAGTAAATTCCCCTTCATGTGGATTTATGGGGAGATTTTTCACAGATATTTATAGTTTCCCAGGTGCGTTGTTGTGACTCCTTAGCACAGATTAGAATGGTGCGCTCCAGGAGCTGATGAGAGGAGAACGTTGATGGGGCAGCCCCGTGTTCATACCAGGATGCGAGCAGCGAATGGCTCCTTAATCCTCGGGTGAGTTCCCACTGTGTGTGGCAGGTTGTGGCCCCGCCAGTGCCAGCTGAGCACCTGGAGAGCCTGGTGAGCAGGGCTAGGTGAATTTAGGTGGCCCTGATTAATAGAGATGGTCCTGGTGCAATGCAAGGGCAGGTCACTTCCTTCCTGCTCACAGTGGCATGGCCCTGCCTGAGGGTGCTGCTGTGGGACAACTTGCCCTGCAGGGCTGGGCCCCACCAATACCCCACAGTTACCCTCCTATACCACCTGCTGCTGTCCATAGCCAACCCATTGAACCACATCTCTTTCTCTCTTTCTCTTCCTTTCCAGGTTTCTTGCCTTGCCAGCAGGTCCTTGTAGGATTTTGGCTCTGGTAAGTGCAATCACTTTTCTTCTTGCTGAGTGCATGCCAATGTGAAAGCATTGTATGGTGCTGGTGGAGCAGTGAGGCCAGGCACCATCACTGCTCCCCAGGCAGGTGTAAGAGCCTGAGTGAGCCTCTCTTAAGGAGCCAGCTCCCGGCACACTTCACCCCGGCACAAATTATTTCCCCACTGTGTAAAAATAGGCTGAAATACATTTATCACTGCCTTTCCGTAATCCACAAAGGGAAACTGTGTGGGCATCTTTAATCCTTCCTGGGTAAACTTTGTCAGATGGGAATTGAAAACTTCGACTGAGTGATTGGCACAATGATTGCAATAAAAGCTGGGAGGGTTCTGCCGCTGGGTGGGACTCAGGGTCCTTTGGAACAATAAGAAAGTGGAGTGATGGGTGGAAGGAGAGCCTTCCTGGGGACCTTTGCAGAGGAGCCAGGCTTAGAGAAGCATTTAGGACTTGGAAGAAATGTAAAAGTCAGAGGATGCAGCCCTGGTTGCAAGCTAGTGTCGTTACCTGTAACCTTTCCAGGAATGGGCTCCTCTCAGGCCACCCTCTCTGCCACCAGCCCCCTGGCTGACTTTATCCTGGGGAACCCAGTGGGTAGAAGGATAAAATTTCTGGGCTTTCTTGGGCTTGAGTCCCTGTGCCATCCAGTGTTTGATGTTTTCACACTTCTAAAATCCCCATGGGTTTTCCATCCTTACCTTTAACCCAGCAGAAAGGGTCCTGCTTCTGTGCTGGGATAAATCAGCAGGACTGTCTTGCAGTCAGCGCAGTTGCCATGTATTGTGTCATCTTCACCTTTGTCCTCTTGATGTGTTCTCTTTAAAAAATATGTATTTATCAAAAAAGCAGCATTTCTGTTTGATGCTATCTGTTGGGTTGATAATTCAGTCCCATGGAAGGCAGTGTGCTCAAGGATTGGCCACCACTGTCCTGGACTGCATGGCCCCGTCGAACTTGAGGGTTTTTCTTTTCTTTAGCAGCAAATAGTTCGCTAGCTGGGGCCTAAAATTCTCAAAGGGAGGGTTGTTATGGTGATCTCAGGGTTTTGGGTGCTGCTGGCATGGACTTGCTGTGAGACAGACCTGTTCTGGGATGGGAACACCACTGTCTGGAGCATATCAAACCACGGCAAGGGGCGAGGGCAGGTTGTGAATCCTGGTGCCTGGAGGACTGCCCTGATGTCCTCTCTCTGTGCATCCATCTCACTGGAGGGCATCTGGCGTGGCATCAGCTCACCACAAAACCTATTCCTAACTCCAAAACTGTGGAGAGACTCCTGATCCATGATGCTTTGCTCGTGACCTTGGCAGCCTCAGCTGGAAGCAGCTCAGACCCTCGGGAGAGCTGTGCTGTGATGAGCAAGCAGCATTGCTGTGTTGGGTGCTACTCCAGCACATGGCAAAACTCCAGCCAATGGGTGGACGAACTGACCAAGTGATTTTTCTCTATAAGGGCTGTGCTACATTGGGAAGTGAACATAACAGCTCTGTCTTCACAGATGATTCCTGCAGGAGCAGCTCTGGCCACGCTTCTGCCAGCAGCAAAGAGCAAGTGTCTGTGGCTGCAGAGTGGGGATGGGGAGAACAGGACCCACCAGTCTTCAGAAAAGAGGGGAAAGTGGCAAATGGCCTGGATGAGGGGGCAGTGGGGGGAGAAGTGGCTGAGGGGGTAGAATTGCCTCTCCTGAAGCATGGTAATTGGCTCATGGCTTCTTCTCCCCAATCCTCTTACACCCCTCCCATTGCACATCTCTCACCAGATGCGGCCATGAGTGTTAGCAGAGATAAAAGCTCTCTTCCCACACGGGCTCTTCTTCCCCAGCATGCTTAATCATGAGCCAACGTGGCAAACAGCCTTCCTGAGAGATGCCCCAGGCTTGGCTCCTCACTCTCCCTCCCTCCGTGCATTTTGCCTCTGCTCCCACTCTGCCCCACACCCTGGGGCTCCCTGCACGCCCCTGCAGCCTGCGCGGCCATCACGTGCCTCTGATAAATGAGCTTCATCTGCACCCAAAATTAATCACATTGTCAGGCTGGCAGAGGATGAGGCAGCTGCTCTGAAATGCCCGAATCCCTGGCTAATTTATTACAGGGGTTGGATGCAGAGCTGCTCTGCAGCTCCTGCTGCATGGGGACATGCTCTGGAGAGGTGGATGGTAACGAGGAGCTGCGAGGCTTGGGCGTGAATGGCTTGGGAGGAGGTATTGTCCTTCTTCCCAGAGCTAAGACATTGATTTTCAATGAGGAGAACCTGGTGGGAGACTTCTTGCATCCAGGAGGGCTGATGCTGCTGGTGACAACCCGGCTCCTCTGAGCCACCTTGGACCTGGAAGCTGATGTGTCCTCCTGCACTGGAGCATGCTCAGGAACCCAGAGCAGAAGACTAATGAGGAAAATGAATATGAGGGAATTATTCCAGGATTTCCAAAACCGTGGTGTTTGCGGACGGTGGAAGCAGGAGGCACCCAGCCAAGCTGATGTGTCTTGTTCACTTAATTACTCCATCACTGCTCATCAGAAACAAAGTGTTCACCATCTGTGTGCCCACAGCACATGTGCTGCCTGTGACAGGCTGGGATTGATGTGGAAGACCAGCCCCAGAGCTGGGGGCTCTAAGCTGTGCCAGTTCCTGGTAGAGGACACGTGGGTCGAGGGCCAGTTCTGGTGTTCGCTCCTGGTGTTGTGCATCTTTTCAGGATCCACATCATCCTGCTTGTTTGTTGCCAGCTGCTCCTCTGCATTTCAGTATGGGTTTGCTGGACACACCCTCTTCTCCTAGGTCCATCCCTAGGACAGATGCAGGTTCCTCCAATATATTCACCCTCACTTGCCTTGTGGTAATTAATTGCTGATTCCAGACCAGACTCAGCTCTGGAGTGCTTGTTAACTAATTGGATGCCTTCCAACAAATCCCAGCAGTCTCTCCACAGTGGGAAAGCCGTGTGTTCCTCGTCTGCTCCCTGATTGCTTTGTCCCTCTGTAGTGGATGGGAGCACCTTGGAAGAGATCTGCTGTGGCTGCTCTCCTGGAACTCGCAGTGGGCTGCTGACAACAAGGCAAGGTACTTCCTGGGATTGCAAAATAATGGACAGCAAAGCAAAGCACAAAGTAGATGCCCCATACAGTGACTGATGACTGTGCTCCCAGCTGGTGGAAGGGGCTGGGAACCTGCTCTGCCTGCTGGTCTCTCAGAGTTTCACAATGACTCTCTTTGCAGATGTTGTCAGATGTGGGTTTTTACGTCATGGCCCAGCAGAAATGCAGGAAAACTGTTGTCCTTTGCAATCTGAGGCTCTGTGTTGCCTATGTTTTTTGGTCTCCTGTTTTTAGAGAAAAGAGCTTTTTATCAATAGAAATTGAGTTGCTGGTGCTCCCAGCAGCTTTCCTAGACAAAAACATTGAGTTGCTTTTGTTAAAACTTTAAATCTTAACTCATAAGGGAATGGACTCCCCTAGATCTGCCATAAAGCTGGTGTTCAGATAAACATGGCATTTTGGGGAGGGAGAAAGGGTGGTTTAGTCTCCTTCAATATGTGCCTGTGATGGCCTCATGGGGTCTCTGGCTGTCAGACACCAGCATTTGTGGTCAGCTGAGAAAGAGATGATGGAAAGCTCAGTCTGAGCATCTCTGAGCCTCCTCCTCAGACCCTGCAGCCTGCTGGGCTGACCTGGGGTTTTGCTCCCTCCTCACCCGCATGTGTTGGAGTGGATTTTGGGGTTGTGCTAGTGACTCCAAGCTCTTAGGAGAGGCAGATGTGTGCATGGCTGTGAGCCGGGTGACATGTCTGACCTGGTGTTCATCCTTATTTCTAGTCCCTCAGGGCCTGTGGGGTATAAGGCAGCCTTCAGTCAATACAGAGAAACAACTACTGTTCTCTTGGCTCAGTTGCATGTTTACAGCAAGCTGCTGCTGTGGAAGAAAGGGCTTCCATGGATGCCACTCCTAACCACTGGGTGATGGATCCCAGTGGTCAGCATTGCTCAGCCTTGTTGGGGCTGCCTGCTTCACCAGGCTGCCTTATTCTTTTCATATGCTTGTATTTTTTTAAGTCAGGGCTACAGCTGGGGCTTTGTAGGCACCCCTTTGCCAACACATGACTGGCTTATGCTGCTGTTGAGTGGAGATGCCAGGGAAGAACTGGAGAACAACTGAGACGTGCTGTGGGAATTGGGAGGTGCATGGTGATGCCAGGGCAAGAACAAATTCAACAGGAATAGGAAATAACAGCTTGGGTTGCCAAAGCCCCTGTTGAGAGAGTGGTAGGCAGCGCTCCTTGGGAGTCTGGCAGCAGAGGACAGCAATGTTGGGCAACTCCAAAAGATGTCTTTGGCTTGGGTTGTGTGAGGAGGAGGAGGAGGAGTGAGGATCAATTGGTCTCACAGAGGTAGCTGGGCTGCTGCTGGTGCTGGGACAGGGCAGCACCTGCTGCCAGAGTCAGGCCTGGGCAGCCGTTGCTGGCTCTCCTCAGCATTTACATCAGCTTGCTAGGAGGGAGCACATGGGATGCTCCAGGGATGCTGAGCCACCTCAGCAGAAGGAAAGGCTTGTCTGCCCAAAGAAAAGGCTTTTTCCAGTCTCCAGCCTCTGTCAGAGACTGGGGAAAGCCAGCTGTGGCTATTTTGAAACACTTTGCAGTGGAGTTGCCCAAGTCTTTTTAGGACTCAAGAGTTCAGTTTCTGATACGACCTGCTCCCTAGAAATTCAAACAAACTGTCTGTGTACCAGAAGCCAGGGCAACACTTAAGGACTTGTCATGGCAGGGCTGGCACCAGCAAATTTGCTGCCTGCTTTTTCTTAGGTGCAAATAACGGTGCCACAAAGCACACCAGACTTCAATATCCATTAACAGTCCTCTGTTCTCTGCTCCTCCAATCTTTTATCAGTGCCAACAAACTGGAAGTGTTTCTTTGGGTCTAGTCTAGTCCCAGGGTAGTAAATTTGGCATATTCTGTCCCTCTGTCTCTTGCAGAATCCATATGGATGTAA